ATGCTAACCCCATAAAATGATGGGAGACTTCAAGTGTTGTGAAAAGAAAAGTCTTTTGTTGCCAAAATTTACTTCCATGTTGTTTGCGTAATAATCGAGTGAGAAATTTATATGAGACAATATCATTTCATCAGTAATTTAGTAACTCAATTGCAAGTTCTTCATGCATGGCATGCAGGTTGCCTGCTCATCATATATTCGCATTAATAATGAAAAAGCTGTTTAGTTATATGCAAGTGAACATGAAAGGGGAAATTCTATTCACTACGATAAGAGAAATGAATACAGTCGAAAATTTATAAATATGTACTCTATAACGTCGCAGAAAAAAGAAATAAAATTAGTTTAATAGCAGAAATCATGTGAATTACTACTGCTAATTACACCTCCTGCTAAATTGAAATCCATGCATGAAAACCCCAAAAACAAAAATCACAAAATCTTTTTGATGTTACAGTTATTTGAAGAATGAAAATGTATACATTCTAGGGACGATTTTTTTCACTAGTTTTATTTGTCATTTATGAACACCATCAATCAGATATGAGTGATCCTTCAACAAGTCAAACGTTTTCCTACATTGATAAACATTTGAATTGAAAAATATTTACATTTACATTCAACTGAATAGTGGAATGATAACGCATTGATAACATTTAATTACTTTAATTTTTTTTTTTTTTTTTGAGCGTAAAAAATGATTCCAAATGATACAAACTATTACGTGCAATAGTAATGTAAGGATTTTCGCTTGGAATAATGGCTGAGCATTGGAATAGCTCAGTGGTTAGATGGCTTACTAAAGGTTGAAGTATGGATGGTTTGATAACTGTTATCTCTATCAGCGTATCCCTTATGTTGTCGAATTGCTGAAGGTGATATTAATGAGGAACAAATATTAGTGTGAATAATATTAGTGAGAAATAATAATCCATCTCCTCATATGTTTTCCAAAAATGCGATGAAATAATCAGGTATTAAATGAAATCAGTGTTAATAATAACAGGACACAAAATCTCAACGAATGGTCGGATACATAGGATTTCTTGACAATGGTTAGATGAAAGTTGTAATGGCTGTTGTAAATGGCAGAGAAGGTCTTTATTTAGTGTTGACACTGAAGTTGACAAGAGTCAGAAAATGATCCTTTCTACAGGTACCAAAATATAGGCAGACATAAGACATTCAAGGTTTCTAGGGAATGATTAAGTGAAAGTTCAAATGGCAGTGGACGAACAATTGGCAGACAAAGAGGATTGTATGCAGCATCATCAAGATGTCCATTGAAAGTTGGCAGTGAAGTTAACAAGATTCAGAAAATGATCTATTAAGCATATTGCTGTAAAAAAATAATATAAAAGTGGTAATTATTTCATGTTTTAGAGTAATATTGGAATTTTTTGCTTGATAAGGATGATTGCTAGCATTGCATATTACTGGTCATCTACGATGATTGCTAACATTGCATATTATTGGTCATCTATGATGACTGCTAGCATTGCATATTATTGGTCATCTATGATGATTGCTAGCATTG